GTCTGTCGGCGTCTCTCTCTCTTCTCCGCCCCGATACCCCCCCAGCGTCGGTCAGTCAGTACTACTAAGCCCCCTCTCCCTCCTTACCTTTACATCCAGCAGCTGTAAGAAAGTTCAGTCAATGTAAAAAAAAAAACAAAAAAAACCTTCACTTAAAAACTACACTGCAAATTATACATTAAACTGAAATAAAACAAACAAACAAACAAACAAACAATCTAGCTTGGTGCCCAGACCTCCTCGGCCGCCTGGGCCCCTCACACAAGTACCGGCCATATCCCCCTGATGGCAGTCCTGGCCGGGTACTACTAAGCCCCCTGTTCACTTGCGGGAACCCATATGGCGTCGCCACCCACACTTTAAGAAGCACTGCTTTAGAAGACTGGACAATACAAAGTTGTTTTTTCCACCATAATTTGCAAATAAATTGGTTCCAAATCAGCCAATGCGATTTGTCTGGATTTTTTTTCTCATTTTGTCTCTCATAGTTGAGGTCTACCTATGATGCCAATTACAGGCCTCTCTCATCTTTTTAAGTGGGAGAACTTGCACAATTGGTGGCTGACTAAATACTTTTTTGCCCCACTGTATATAATCTGTATAACCCCTCCCACCCCCAGCATGCCTCAGTTTTGTTAGCAAGTAATAGGAGCAGGGGTGGAACTACCGACGGTGCAGCCGCCCCGGGCTGCCCACTGAAAGGGTCAGAGGTGAAGGCTAGAACCCAGCAGTGCCAATGTGGTGGTGGAGCAGGCTGGGGCCCAGCAGCATCAATCCGGTGGTGGCGGAGGCCTGGGCCCAGCAGTGCCAATCCGGTGTATCCGGGCCCCAGCAGAGGCAGGTAAGAGAAGCTGCGTGTGCAAGGAAAAGGACCTCGACCATCCCAGCTGAGACCCTGCAGAGCTCACCATAGAGAGTCTTAGATGGGCTGTGCAGGGTCTATTGTGGGCTCTGCAATGTCACTCTCAGGTGGGCTTTACTAAGTCCAGAGTCCAATTCATATACTGTTCTGTCTTGTTGTATAATGTATTGTCAGTATTAGTAGACCCCCACAGCTGGTATCATTCTGCATTAGAGTGTAAGCTCCTGTGTAAACAAACTAATGTGACTGGCTCAGTGTTCTCTGTACAGCACTGTGGTATATATCAGAGCTACTTAAATGTATAATAATAGTGCAAGACTGGGGGGGGGGCATTAAAGTGTTAGCTCCTCTGGTGCAGAGACCACCAGGGGGTTGGGGGGGGGGGGGGGGGGAAGGC